CTGAGGGGAGACCTTATCGCTCTCTACAGCTACCTGAAAGGAGGTTGTAGTGAGGTGGGTGTTGGTCTCTTCTCCCAAGTAGCTAGTGATAGGATGAGAGGAAATGGGCTCAAGCTGTGTCAGGGGAGGTTCAGGTTGGATATTAGGAAAAATTTCTTCATGGAAAGGGTGGTCAGGCATTGGAACAGGCTGCCCAGAGAGGTGGTGGAGTCACTATCCCTGGAAGTGTTCAAAAAATGGGTAGACATGGCACTTTGGGACATGGTTTAGTGGGCATGGTGGTATTTGGTTAATGGTTGGACTGATGATCTTAGAGATCCTTTCCGACCTTAATGATTCCTAGTTTTTACTTTCATTAAAAATAATCCAGCCACCAAGCCAGGAAACATGAAATTGCTACTCTATCCTTAATTGCTTTAGTGGTGGACTTGGTAATGTTAGGTTAATGGTTGGACTGGATGATCTTAAAGGTCTTTTCCAACCTAAGCGAGTCTATGATTCCATGATTCTATGGCATACTGAATATTGAAGAAGTGTGGAAGCCCCTGATACACAGACTTAATTTTGTTTAAATTCCTTTACATGCTCTGGGGTCAATAGGGCAAATGATCCTTGATGCAGTCAGACTCTGTGGACTAATTTTGAACCAAAGAACATCCCTTGCTCTTCCCACAAGAGGATGTAGAGTGGTACGAACATTGAAAATGTTAAGAGTAACTTAAGGGTGAAATGTCATTAGATTAAATGAAATATGCTGAAATTCAGTTATAAAAAACGTGAGGGGAATTGTTTTGGTTAATCTAACTGGGCAAAAGTATCTCTCTTAAACTGAATCTGAACAGAATCTGTTATTTATTCTAGATTTTTTTAAATTGATCTTTGCTTCAGTGCTGAAGTGAAAGTGCTGGAATTTTTAGGGTTCTAAGTCAAATTTCAAGCAATATAAATCTTATGCCAGAATCAGGTCTATTAAAAACTAACTTCCCTCTTCCCCCAACCCAGCCCCGAACATAATTAAATTAAAACTAAGCGGCCAAATTTTTTGTGGCTGGTCATTAACAGATCACCTATTCTTGCAAAGAAACTAGTCTGCATTCTCCCTCCTACTTATACATTGATAAAGACTGCCTTTACTGCTGGGATGCCTTGGTTTAAAATGGGATGATATAACCTAGTATTTGAGATAGCATGGTCAAAAATGCAATCCTTGAGCTCTATTCATTGTCCCGACTTGTGATTTTGTCATCTCTTAAAACCTCTTTCAAGTCAGTATAAGGTGGTCTTTATAAGGATGGAGATGACAGAATGGTTCCAGGGTACATGACCAAGATTTTGATGCAAACATCAGCTGTTGTAATGATCTGTGGAAGTTCTTGGGCAACGGCCAGAATTCAGATTATTTTTTAAGGTACATCTGTTTATCCCGAGGGCCCAGGTTGGCACACTGCCCTCTCAGTATCAGGGGAACATGAAGACAATGCAAAGCCTCTTTGTGCACACTTTCTGCAGATACGGTGGTTCACACAGGTTTTCCTTGCAGGCTGAGGACTTGGGTTTTGTGATACCTCTGCCAAGTCACTTCGCCTCATCTTCTCTTTTCACCATCCATCGCATGGATTTATCTGTTTATAGATTAGTATTTGAAAAATAGCATAAGATTCTCAAATTAGATGCATTAGATGCACTTAGAATAGTTCCTGCAGCAGCTTTCAGAGCTGGTCTACAAGCGCACCAGCTCTTGTTCCCCTCCAGATGTACATCTGAATTCTAATAAGCCATCTCGCCCTAATGATGAAGGGGTTTTTATTTCTTTTTTTTAATTTCTGCTTATAATATTCATGTAAACATAAGCAGCAGGAATAAACCAGAACTTTTTTCATCCATTTTGTATTTGTAATGCTAATAAATATATAGAAAGAAGTAATACAGATAACCAACCCAACACATGGAAACTTGAAGAAATGCAAAATTTTTTAAAAGATATATGGCTGGAAAGTTTAAATGCAGAAAATACCAGAATTTGGGCCAGTTGTTGTATTTCTATGGTACAATTTTAGCCACTATTTCTCCCTCACCTACACAACCTCCAACTAGTGACAAACAACTACTTGTTCTGCTTTTACTCTCTACTGCACTCCATTTGCTTCTCTTATGGAAAGACAAGAGTAAGAAAACAAATAATGGAAAAGGTGCAACTGCTTTCTTGTTACAATTCCACTTTTCTTTCCTCAAAACCTTCCAGAATATCTCTTGTAGGCACACTGGAGGATTGGTGGGGATTAGGGGCTGCAGAAGCAGTAGCATGTCGGAGACTGCTAAAACTTCTGTTGTCCAAAGCACATTCTCCCTTTGTCGTATGAAAAACAGGAGAACTGTTTGCAGTGTTTGTTGTTGCAGGAGGGGTAGGCCGGCGGATTTGAGAAGGTATCTTAGAAGTATACATACAGACCTTTCCTGGCTTCCAAGTCATACCAGCAGGCATAAATTCTTGCCAGTGAGTTACCAGGTAGTGAGTGTAAAAGTATTCAATATAAAATTACAGATAAACAGCTCAGAGAACAATATTTTCAGATTGTGTTGAAACAGTAAAACTTCTTCAGCTAGTAGTGACAGATATATGGCCCTAGTTTGCTAAATAATAGACAGTAATTTATGCTCATTCATGTATTTTGTATTTTTATCAATTGATTTTGCAAAGGTAACTTCCCTTGACTAAACTAACTTAACTAATGGAAGTGTTATATAGATACAGGAAAATAGAAAGAGCACTAACAGCAAGATAAGTAGGCTACATCTATGTGATTTCCTGCAACAGCAGGATGTATGTGTGTTGGTGCTACCCTGTTTGCAAAGTCTGGCTTCTGACGTCTCAAGAAGGGGGTTGGAACTGCAACTCCCTATTTTTTAAGGCTTCTTGGAACACAGGTCTTAGTCTGAGACCTTCAGTAATGTAAGTCAGTAATGCAAGTGGGATGGCTTGCTGCAAAATTCCCATTGGCTTCATGTGTATTGACTTGGGCTAACAATGCAAAACCCAGCAGAATTTTTTTCATTTGCTTTTTGCATAATCATTAGTTTTCTTTCTTTCTTTTTTCCTCCATTAATTTTGTGTTATGGAAAAATATAATTTTTTCTTTCATTATTTGCTGAAATTAGTTCTCCTCTGATGCATACAACTGCATCATTATTCATAGCAGGAGTGAAGAAGCTGCAGTGCCACAGCAAGTGGTTCTCCTATTTAAAGCAATATGTAAGGAACAGACCTAGTGTGAGATCTAGGAGTGCCTTCCAAGCCCTGGGCATTTCAGTGAGGCACACAGAGTTTTACTGTGGGTGCTCTGCACACTATTGGAGTGCTGAAAAGCCCAGCTCTACCTAAGGGAGCGCCTGTACATTTTTCTGTGAGTCATATCTCTTCAGCTTTAGCAGGAGGTAAGTTAGTGGGGAACCAAAAGCGGAACATGGCTTTGGAGTGAAAAAATGCCTGATAGGTGACTTCTGAGAGGTTACCTGGATACACAAATTCTGACCTAAAGAAGTGATGGAGCAATATTTTCTTATGTGAACCAGGGAGCAGACTCAAAGCCTTTGCTGTTTTAAGTGGAAGAATAAATATCCTCTGTTTATGTTAACAGATCTATTCCCATGATGGATATTAAAGATTTCATTATAAGTAAAGAGTGTAGAAATGAGCACGTACTAACTGTATTCTTTCTGGAGGATCTTACATTAAAAAATTCATTAAAGTGGGCTTTGCTGCATTATTTAAAATGACAACAGGAGACAACAAGCTGAATGTTTTGTCATTGATATGACAGTTCAAATTCTCCTCCTTATTCATCACTCTACCACTCAATTAAATTACACACTATCAAAATCTTGTGTTGTGGGAAAAAAATTAGAAAGTGAACTAAAAATATATGCGATGTGAGTTTTAAGTATAATTGGTACTTTACATTATTCTGCAATGCATGGCTGTCTTTTTTGCATTTCTACTTATTAAAGAACATGTCAAGCAGATTGATCAATAGAAGATACAAATTTGTAACATATTCTGAGGTGGCATTACATCAACACAGAATGTTTGTCATTTATGCTGGTTTTATTTGAATGGCATTACAGCACAGCTGGGTGAGAAAAAACTTTCTCAGGGAAGAAAAAAATGCCTTGTCAAAACCACTCAGCCACTTGTCACAAGATAGTATTTGCATCAAAACAATGAATAACGGCCACACATTCTACAGGTTCCTCTAAGTTCTGAGTAATGAAATTCATGTCCTTTCCCTGGATCATGCAAAGCACTGACACTGCTCTTGCATGTTTGATCTGGCTTTCTGAGATGTTGGGAGTCTGAAATGGTTCTGCCAGAGCCAGAGTTACTCCATGTGCATCGTGCAAGGAGGGGAAGCTGCTTTAGCCAATATCCCAGAGGTGTGTCTGGTGTTGGGGAAGAGTGGGGTGGGAATATTTATAGTTTCACAGAAATTATGAAAACAATGAACACGGCTATGGTATCAATATGTCATGTATAAATACAATTTCATATTGTTATCTTAAGTATGTAGTAAAATGATAAATTTGTTACACATTTGCAAATGCTAAATGTGAGATACATAGTGTGTAAAATCCATATTTGGGTTTAAAATTTACTGCCTCAGAACACTATTTATATGATTCTTCTACTTTAAAAGTCTATTATCTTGCCATACACCCTACTCTAGCACTGCTGGGTATCTAGAGCCGCTGCAAGAATGATTTGTTTGGCTGGTTTGATCACTGAATCCATCTTCAAACCTTTTTATATTTTGTCCACCCCCAATTCCAACATGAAGTTGTGTGCTCTCCTCCAGCAGTGTCTGCAGTTCTTAGCTCCTAGATGTTCTTGACCTCTGTCTTTTATTCCAGGTCCTCAGTCAAAGCTGATACCTTTTTCAGTGTCCTTCTTCCGTGCCTTCTCTTATGTGCATCTTGACTGTAAAATTAACCTGGTTCTTCTTCAGATACGTATCTAGTGCCTATGCCTGGAACGGTGTGAAAACACCTGAACTGGTCAAGTCTTTAGAGTTTGGGTGTCCAGCTATCTGGTGAGGTGCACCCATGCCGCAGAGGGGACTCGTCATCAGTCGCAGGAGTGCCTTTTGGTGCATGCTCTCTTGCCTGTTCAGAGTCCCTTGAGGTGACGCGTGAGCTCTCCCAGGTGCTCACGCAGCCGGCTCACACAGTGCTGGCACGGCCGTCTCTGTGCTGCAGCCTGTGCCATCCTTCTGAGCGCTGAGCGCTTTCCCGACTCCCATCTGTATCACCTCCCACTGCTGTTCATCCTTAAACTTGTTTCTTCAAGTAACGATGGCCATGTTTCATATGTGTAAGCAATCATAAATATAGGAAAATAATTCAGTGCCTTCCAGAATTGCATTAGCCTACCCCATGATAAAATAATCAAAGATTGCTTTTCTCTCTCTGAGACTTCTCTGCCCCTCCTCCTTTTTTCATTCCTGTCCTTGTTTTGAGGGTGAAGAATTCATCTTTCTTAGTACCGTGAGAGCAACATGGATTTTCATAATCTAAGTAATAGTCTGTCTTTTTTTTTTTTTGTCTCGAGGCAAACATTACGCTAGTTTAAAAATCTCCCAGTATTATTTTTCAAAGTCAATTTTGTAGTCCTCTTTAAAGCAAAAGCAGTATTCTGTGTTTGTACAGGGTTCAGCACAGACCTTAATCTTTCCTGGACTCAAATTGTACCACAGTATAAAGGATAACACCTGCCCTTTGCAGCTAAAAAGGAAACTAACATCAACTAATGTCATCCATAGCCTTTTGTCTTGCCAAGAACTTTGTTCTATACAAGCCGTGGGTTGGCTGCCACCCTCTGACCCTTTGGAGGTTAGGCATCCCAGATTGCGCTCTGTAACATGTAGGGTATCAGAAGTAGAGCTGTGCTTTCAGAGTATGCTTCCCAGATCTGGAACTGATGGAGTCCAACACACCAGGATCTGTGTTTTTCACAGGGGACAGTCCAGTCTCTCCCACTGCCTGTCCTTGGGACTGGTGACTTGGTCTCTGGACCGAGACGCCCATGTTGAATTCTCCCGTTGGACGTGCCAGAGTCAGCTGCTCATCCTCATGTCTCAGCCAGCTTCTCCAGAGCTGACTGCTAGTCCCATTCCTTCAACCATTTGTGAGCTGGAGAGTCTGTTCATGCAACGCCAACACACGGCGGACTCACTTAAGTGTCTCTACAGGGTACTGAGCTAGGGAAGAAAATACAACGTTGCGTATTGGTAACCAAACACAGCCTGGTTGGTATACTACACTGACTAGATGGAGAGGGCCACTTGATTTTCTGAACCTGTTTTTCCTACCACACCTTTGAAATGAAGATGTGCCCTACCTTATGTTTCCTGACACTTGATGTATTTTCATTTGTAAAATGCTTAGAGATCCTTATATTAAATTTGTAAACCTATAAGATTAATGGAAAACAATTATTTGCTGGGAATAGAACCTGTGTGTTACTGCTTTGATGGTAATTTTACCCACTGGAATCTGATGTGTAGCAGAGTTTTTTACTACATCTTCAAGCAACCAAAACAATAGCTGAGACATTTTTGATCAACAGGTATTCCAAAGATAAATATTATGCTTAGGAAAAGTCTCACTGTGTTGCTTGTCACAGTCCAGCTTGGAATATATAAATATCTTCAGTGATATATTAAACTTGCAGCCAAAATAGGATGACTTTTATCAAATACTGGCACACTAAAAGAAGATTATTTGAGAAGTTAGTGTTAGGATCCAGATTTAAGATTTTTGCTTAAGATAATCAAGCGATGGAGCTGGGTCCATTTTTGTGGTGTCTTGACACAATCCTGCATCAAGTTCATTTGAGATTTAGATAGGATGCAGAGGGATACAGACTGAGTCTGTGGAAAGCTATCAGCCTAAGTGACTAAATTTATTGTTCACCAAAAATCCTGAATACTTAATGATATGCTGATCTTCCAATATATAGCAACTTGTTTGAAGACAAATGCTACTTATTTTGGTGTATTTACTAGATCATGCCATTCCTGTGCTATCATGTGAAAGAGATGGTTTTGTGTTAAGGTTTATAATTTCAAGTGATTAAAGGAACACATCAAGCAGTTTAAAAACTCATAAACATTATCCAGTGAAAAATACTGAAATCTCTTTTTTAAATCCACATATAAATGCATATAGATACATTTCATAGTTACTTTAGCCTAGAAGTTCATACTGTTGGTCTGAGCAAAATGAAACACATTTTGTTGGGGGTTTTTTGGAGGGGGGAATATTTTGTGAGAGAACGTAGAAGAATTAAGAGTTGCTTTTATAAAGTAAGTGTGAAAATAATTTGTGTTGAAGGATATAAATCTAAGGAGCATAAAAGATGTAACAAGAGCCTATAAACCTCTAGAGAACCTTACAAAATAGCTTCTGGAAAGCGTAGGGCACCAAAGGATTACTAACAGGAAACTAGGGGCACTGTTTTGAAGTTCAATAGCTCCATTTGTCATTCCCTTCAAATGCAAATCTTCCATAAAGGTGCTTTAGCTGTTGATTTACCCAAAAAGAGAAATTTCGGGGTAACTTATGCCTGACCAAATATACCATCTGAAAGCCAGCTTTGCAACCCTATTTATTGCAAGATGCTGTTGTCTGCAACAATTCAGAAATTACTACTAGCTTGAGAGAGTTCTGCATGTAGTAAGATCCTCTGGCATCAGGCTGCCGTTTGTTTACTTCTCCAGATTATAGAATATTCCTTTCACATTGAGATGTCAGCCCGTTGACAGTAAACATATGGTAAAGGTAAGGGAAATCTAGGTCATTCGTGTGCTTGAAACTAAAGAGACTGGGCTATACAACTAGTTATCATTAGCAAGTTGAAGTAAAGAAAACATTAATTTTTCAAATGCTGTGATCTCTAAGAGCTTAAAAGTGATGTATCGTTTAAGCTTATAATGCAAAACCAGGGTATAACCAATGGATGCAGATGAATATAAATTGATTTGGTGGCAGATGCACATCTGCAGCTGAGACCAAACATTCAATTAAAAAAAAAAAGAAGCTGGTGATTCTTCACACTTCAGAAAGGCTATCCAAAAAGACTATTAAGGCATCTGAGAATTTTCACACAGAAAAAAATGTATTACTGTGCCATCATTATGAAGCACTGTTTTATTCATTGAGGACCTAAACATGAGGGTGAATACAGAAAGAACCCAAAATTTTATTAGAAGAAATGAGAGAATATTGTGAGGAACTCCAGAAAGACTAAACTACGTGAATGAGCATCACCGGGGTACCTGGAACTCCAAGCCGACATGCTGGGAAGGAAGAGAGAAACGGCTCATTCACTTTTTTAAATTCAAGGTTAGCTGTAACAGCTCAGGAGAAATACCTGGCTGTGGCTTATTGCATATTGAGGACAGTTTAATAAACACTTCCACTGTTAACCAAACTGAACAGAGAGTTAGCATGTACAGAAATGGACAATTGTGCTGGAACGAGCATAACGCCCTTCTACACTTTCTCACCCCGAACACTGTGTTTGTTTCTCATCCCCTCATCCAAGGAAAACACAAAAATAATTTGAGAGGTGGAGAAAAAGAGAGTCATGAAAGAGGCTTCCTTTGGATTTGAAAAAATGTTGGAACAGCCAGTGTTGTACTGAGAAAGTGAAAAGGGTGGACTTCTGGTGTCACCACTTGGCACACCCCTGTTTCACACAAACCCCAAAAGAGACAGGCATTCTGATGGAGAAAAAAGTTTACCATTTTAAGACTTTTTACCTCTTTCCCAATCTTACTAACATACTTATTCATCACATTAGTTTTGCATATATTAGAACAGCTCCTTTGTAATATTAACAATTCTAAAAATCTTCTTGCTGCGTAGCCTGATTAACATGCTAATTGGGCCTCTCCTGTCAAGCACTTCTGGAGTGGTAGGATATTCCTGGGTATCAGCAGTGCAATGGTATTTAGTTAAGTACCCAGTTTAAAAGTTTATCTTCAGATTTGGATATTCTTTTAAGAACTAAATGTAACGTGTTATTCTACTTCAGTTTGGATACGATCCCACCCTGCAACCATACAGGGAAGCTGTGCTAGTTGAGCAAAACTTTGATGTCAATAACCGTGTGTATATGTAATGTATGTACAAAAATATGAATTCAGCATTTTTCTGGATTATACACACCCAATACGCATACCCAATCTAAGAGAGCCTTTTTTGTGACATCCCCTTCTATCTCTCTATCCATATGCCACTAAATCATTTTGATATTTTTCTTTGAGAGGAAAACAATGGCACTGAGACACAGCAAGTGTTGCTATTTGGAAATATCAGGCTCTTCTTTGATGCTTTTTAAGGGGAAAATACACTGGAGCAAATGATGTGCGTTCAGCTAATCCAGTACCAAAAAAAAAAAAAAAAAGAAATAATTCTTAGAGAATAACACAGGGAATTGTGTTTGTGATATAAATGACAATTTTGAAAATGGGTAACATATTTAACTACTGTGAATAATCTATGCATAACAGTCAGAATTATAAAAGCCCCATAATATGTCTATAATCCTGATGTGTTTCTTTGCTGTTTTGCAGGCAGACCAGTAATGATTGTAGTTGAATACATGGAGAATGGATCCCTTGACTCCTTTCTGCGGGTGAGGTGCCATTTTCTGATGACATTTGAATAAGACGCCATTCTAGGTTAAGATTTTAAATCATTTATCATAAATTAATTTCTACATAATGCAATTCATGGATTTTTAGTGAAGAATAGAAGCATTTTCCCCAGGGTAACTTTCTAAGGTACAGTGATACATTAGAGCATAGCTGGAAAAAAAAGAAGGTTTAAACTTAAGAATATAATTGATTTCTTTTACAAAAGTAGTTCCCATATTTAGCAAAATGTATTTCAAATAGTGCTTTTGCGAAGGAAAAGGTAAATTGAAGCACAAATGCCTAGCCTTATGGAAGCGGCTCATTTTTCTCAATCACCTTCAAAAATACTTTGTTATGATTTTTTTGGTTGGTGAAGTGTAGAATAGACTCAGTAATTGATTTATAATTATTTGTGGTTACTTGCATTTAACAAATTGAATTAGAAGACAGTTCATGGGTGAAATGTCCTGGCATTAATTAAGCCCCAAAGGTCACTAATAAACATTAAAGAAGGGCTACAGAAAGCTTGAATATGTTGGCACAACTGTATGTAATTCTTCCTAGAAAAGCAGAAGGAAAGGATGACCCCCTAAGCTAAACTTATCCTAAAATGGTCTCTTTGTTAACAGAACCCCTGGAAATGCTCCAGAGGCCCACTGACATAATACCCTGTGTGAATAATTTGACTGTCAAGTATTTCAAATTTGTTTTAAAAAGTAAATGTCAGTTGATACTAGCCTGCTGCCTTGCCATTGCCACCTTGCAGAATGTTAAAGCTGGGGTTGTAGGCAAGGTCAGGGCAGGTGATCTATGATTTTGTGGTTTTGTGAACTTGTTTGAAAGGGTGCCCCAAGTGCAAAGGAGAGGTGTTCAAGAAGGAGCTGTGAAAATATTTGCAGGAAAATCTAGATTATGATGATCAAGGATGCTATGGTGGCAGGAAGAAGGAACTGCTAAGAGAAAAGAGTGAATAAGCAGGAGGGAAAGAACAGCCAACACTTTAGAAAGAAGACTAAACCAGTGAGAGGGAGAGGAAGTCATACAGAGTGTGCTTGTTCAACAGCAGGTCGAGAAAAGAGGTAGCCACAAGAGGAGAAGAGCATCTGGAACGAGGATACTACCCTGAGAACACATCAGAGCCATTATCTTAGATATTTCTAGACATTGTTTCTCCCTTCTTTTTGCTTTTGATTATTCCATTTTATTTTTTCTCTAGCATTTCCTGCTGTCCTCTTCACCCACTGTCCCAAATAATTTTTTATTTTCCTTTGTCAAGACACATGACAGACATCAGAAACACACCAGCACCACAGTTTCTGGTGAGAATTTGCTGATCTCTCAAAATCAAGTATGTTTCTGGAGAGAGTTTGATATCAAGTTCTTCTTAGAAACTGTGTAGGTTTTAAAAATCACCCCCCTTGCCTTTCTGGCTCATCTCTCTATCCATCTGCACCAGACAGACTGCCGCTGATTTGAGTACCTGGGGCTTCCCTGGTCTGTAATTTTTCAGCAGTGCCCCAGGAAGTCTTGCCTGAGCCTGAAACTCTGCTCTGTGCATGTGCGTGTGTGTGTGTGCAGAATTTCATAGAAGAGAATAAAACCAAATACTGAAATAATTCATGAGAGAGGATTACCTTTCTCTGAATTGCTCTAGTATGATATCTCTATTCCAATTATTCTTCACATGCATTTATTTATCAGAATATTTACTACTTATTAGGATACTTCAACAGAAACTGACATTAGCAAAATTAAGATGTTATTGTGAAAAACTACTTCTCACATTACATCATATTTGCCTACATTGCCTATTCTCACGTCATATTTGCCTACAAAGACATATCTGTAGGCAAAACGGCTGGGGGGAAGTGTGAGCTAGTAATTTCTGCAGCTGGTTTCCATGTATATTATTTCACAGCTTCAATTCACACTTCAGATATGGTTTATTCTTCTAAAATGCTTTTTTAAAGGACTGATATTCAGCATCCCAAAGCACTGTAGATACATCATCAGCATTTCTGTTAATAATTAGCAGAGCAAATGGCTGCAAAGTAACCTATTTTAAAAGAAATCCAGCTGCTTCATTAATTATAGTTGTTTCCTGCCAATATAAGTGTACACTTTTAAAAGCTTTTGTGAAGATACAAAGAAGCAGAGAGAGTTTATCTTTAGCAATCCTAATGAAAGGTGTTCAGTGAATATAACAATTCTTATAGGATGAGATTTGGAAGGGCTTATAAGACAGCCTATCTTTCTTATTTAAAAGAATCACTTGTTACAGTGCAAAGTATTTTTACAGAGAGGGGGAAAAAATCCATTTCTCACAATAAAAAATATTTTGCCCCACACCACAACCGCAAAAATGAACCAGCACATCCCTGCAACCTGTCCTTCTCCAAAAGCTTGCTAAAATGGGTCAATCTTACAATTTCAAAGTGCACCTCTGTGATGAACCATGTGAGGGTGTTCCAGAAGAAAGACTCCTCATGGAAGACATTTGCCATTAGCCTCCTCACGGCCTTGGTGGGATGTTAGCTTTCATACCAGTACGAGTTGTGTGAGGAATCATAAACTACAAGTAAAACTCCCCTTGACCCCTAAACCCTAAAGTCTTAATAGTCTTTACTTCCTTGCTTTACAGATAGGGAAATAAAGCACCAAGATGTTAAGTGATCTGCACACTATTGTGCACAAAGTGCATAACAGAGAGCAGAAATGAAATCATCTCCCCTGAATTCCAGGCCAGCAGCTCACACTCATCCTTCATCTTATTTTGTGCTGTATTTTGGTTGCAGTTACATGGCCAAGTCTCCAAACCAATGCCTTACTTTGGCTTTGTATGAATTAAACAGCAAGCTCAGCAAGCTCAGCTGGATTATGTCTTCCCCACCCTACAAAATATCCTGTATGCTGGCTGCTAACTTTGAGCTTTTGGGGAGAAAATTTGGCATGCACTTGCAATATGAAGATGCTTCAGATACATTCTTACTGGAAAAACATCAGCTGATTAGAACCAATTCTGTAAGATTATGGTAATTAATTACAGCAACTGTGCACCGCCAGATACCCTAAATTGCTGGAGACACTTGACACTAACTTTTCCTCAGAAACCCTGCATTATTTTTGCAATTATATAAAATTCATTTCCATAAGATGAAATTCAGTTATCTTTTTTTCGCATAGAAGATTGATGCATGTAAGTCAATCATCCCACAAAAGTACACCTGAAATTTGCTGTCAAGGAAATGCTCATTTGACCAGAAATAAAGTACATGTGACTTCACTTCTGGTAACACTTGGAGAGATTTCTCTGAAAAAAGATGTGAGCTTCCAGCTTAGTATTTCTTCAGGGACTAGAGGCTCTTCTTTCAGTATTACTCCAGCAGGTGCCACATAGGACTAATCTGTGTTTGGAAAGAAAGCGGCTAATACTTCAGCTTGGGAATTGAGGATATCCAGGTACAACTTGCTATTACCAACTTCACACACAGACTTTGGGTGGGACACATTGTCTTTACGTTCCAGTCACCTGCCTGTGTAATGGAGAGCTTAGCAATCACTTATTCTGTAAGTGTATGAGGAAAATAATAAACACACAAAGAGTTGAAAGCGCAGCTATCTGTATTGATAGAAAGATGTACTCAGTAATTAGATAGGACAGTTGCAGTCAGATATGTTTGCTCAGGCTTGGTGATACAGAGTATAGAAGACACAACAAGAAAGACAACCAAAAGAGTCGCATAACAGAAAAAAAGAAAAAAAAAAGCCTAAAACCCACAAAACCTTTTTAACTAGCAGTTTGCCATTGCTGTGGGTTTGAGATGCCTGTTGTCTGAGTGTGCCCATGACTAAGTAAACCACATGGGCATTGAATCACTGCTTGGTTATCTTGCAGTCTTCATACATGACATAAACGCAATCCCATTTTGCTGAGGGAAAACGGAGATGTGTGCCATGTTGCACCCAAGCCCACGCAGTTTGGAGGGTGATACAGTAATATAACCCAGGTCTGAATCCCAGTTTCACTCCTTAGCTGTTTGTGCTGGACACCATAACATTTCCCAGTCTTGAGGGAATCTGTCAGATGATTGCAATAATTCCTGTAAAAGTCCTTTGCCCTGAGGTTGGTCCTTTCACCCTGATATACCCTCCCTGTGTCAGCCCACTCGCTAAGTAGATGCCTCACAGACTTATGGAGCTATTTAGAGTTAAATCTCATCTACTGTTTTCACAGCTCCATCTAAAGGGTCATTCTTGGCTAAAGTAATTGGATTTAGCATCACATAGACAGGAACAGGGTGATTAGCAGGCTAGGTGGCTTGTGTGTTTGGGGGGGGCTACCGCTTCTTGGGTTCAGTTACACAGAGTGCTACCTGGAGAGCATTTTCTGGCTGTGGTCTGCGCTCACCCTCCTCGTGCATCGTTCAGTACGGGCACGGATTTAAGCCACAGAAAAGGAACACAGAAGTTGACTTTTGGGGATGTTTGTTTGTGGTTTGCTACCTAGAATCATGTACAATGAACGAAAAAAACTATCACCAGAATACTTTAACTTTTTTCAGTATTTTTCTGCAGCTGCGGACTACCAGACTACTGTCAGTGTTTTGTTCCTGCTTGGTGTCCCAGGTGTGCTAACCAGTAGTTGGCACAGTGAGGCAAGAACCAGCGACACAGCAATATTACTCAGATGAGAACTCATGATATTGCAGCAGGTTCTGTAGCAGGCCTGATACTAAAATAATCTATCAATCATCTGCATCCACTGCACTGTATTTGCTCACCCTTCTTTATTAGGAAGGGAATGTGCACTCTCCAGGGATCAATGTGGGAAAGAGAGTTCCTCAGAGTTTGCAGCATTTTCCCTTAACTGTACCCTGAAGAGGTAGATGTTTAGGTTTGAAAGATGCTCCAGTCTTGCCAGTTTTGTGAATCTCTGAGCTGTAGGAGGAAGGGATTCAACTACCTAGGGTAATCATCTTGCTTTCTTCATTGTTACTAT